AAAATTAAATACTATCTATCTATCTATCTATTTATTCTATTATCTATCTATGCTATCTATTACTACTATATATATATACTATATATATATATATATACCTCCTCTCTCTCTCTCTCTATATATATATATATATATATATATTGGCTCAATATCGCCGTTGCCCCCATAGTTCACTTTCGTGATTTTTAATAATCTGTACCTGGCTTAGAAAACCAATCGGATTTAGCTGTAGACGCAGGAGAGCCTTGCATTGATCACAGAGCACCGCGAAAATTCACTAACATAAGAACGAATCCGGCTTTACATCGCATGCTTGCTAGTCAAAGAAATGGGTCTTTTTACTGGCAACCCGGACAAGAACACACACGATTGCACGGCCAATGTTATATTAAGCACGGCTATTCTATGACGTACGTAGACGGGGAAAAATTCCTCTTCACATTTTCTAGTCGAATACCTACCTACGCATGGCGTGTGTGCAGAGAGAAACCAATGCTGTGCCCGTGACGACTACAATATCGCCATGTGGAAAGCCAAGCGCGTACTTAATCTCCTGTAAAGCGTATCTATATTTAGAATAATATATCGACTTGGTTTTCAACAAAACAAAAATGAATTAAAATCGGTTTAATTTTTTCATAACAATTGATGCGAAACTAACGGTAAAGTAATCCCACGATACGTTTTTGGTTCACTCTCTTTGTGCGCCCTCTCCTCCATCTCTCTCTCTAATTATTTCTCTCTCGCGCGCGCTCGCACTCTCTCTAACGATTTCTCTTTTTCTCTCGCTCTCGCTCTCGCGCTCTCTCTAACGATTTCTCTCTTTCTCTCGCCCTCGCTTTCGCCCTCTCTCTACTTCTCTCTCACTCTTTCTCTTCCTCTTTCTCTCTGCTCTCTCCCTTTCTCTCTCTGTCTCTCGCTCTCCCCTCTCACCCTTCAGTTTTATCACTAATTAGATGTTTCGCCTGCGGCGGATAACTATAACTAGACGGTGTACGTGAAATGTTCGCAGCGACAGCAAATCACTCGAATCGACTCTATCGTCGACGACGCGCGTCATCTCACTCTGTCAATCCTGCTCTCACGTAGCGGCCCTCGTTCACTCGTCACTCGTCATCCTCGCGGATATATATATATATATATATATATATACATATACATATATATATATATATACATATACATATAGTGCGTGCCGTCGTCCGCAGCTATTACAGTCTGACAGCGTTGCTTGTTGCTGATAAGACATAAAATAATGATAAATTAGTAGTAATAATATTAATGAACACTAGCAAATACCCGTGCTCTGCACGGAGTTGAATGTTTGGCCAAAGTCGACTGTGGCATATTGTAAACCGGTGAATATTTGCGGCTGGTTTTTTTGCGGTTCTGGGGCGCGTTTCACAAAGCTCCGTTATAGTTCTCCGCTGAGTTGTCCGTTCGCTAATCAGC